TTTCCCTGTCATTTCTCCAGGCTCCCAGCACTTCTTTTTAGCCATGGTGCAGTTAGAGTTTTTAAACAGTTTAGGGTTACTAATTCTACAGAAGGATAATTGGGAGGCTGGAGAGGAGGAAGGTGAGGAGTTTTTGGGGGGGTTAGTGAGATACATTAGACCAGCAAAAGGTTTGATGAATGACGAAGTGTTAGTAAGGGAAGGGAGCAGTGAAACCTCTCGGGGAGTAACCTGTTCAATCTGTTTGGCCATCTTGCATGATACACCTTACTACTTCTAATTATTTCCCTTTTTTAGGTAATTTCTTGTTACTTATATGCTCTGGACATTTTTCCTTTCCTCTACCTCTGCTATTCTGTTTCTGCAAAACAGAATTTTGCATATGGCTTGTTTTCTCACCATTGCTTTGCTTTCCCTCAGCTCTAGACAGCCCTACCCTCCTCATCCCTGTTGACAGAACAGTATTCTGCTATTATCTAAAAGTAAAAGAAGGGTGAACAGCCAGAAATAATAGAAGAAAAAAATGGGTCTAGTAGGTTTCTTGCAGCCTGTGAGGTAAGGCAGAGCCACCTTTACAGGAGGGATCTGCTGTGTTCCTTGGAGGGTTTACACATGCTTAGAAATACTTGTCTTAGAATGTACAAATTCCTTACTGCAAAGTATGTGGAAGTGTGAATGCACTGACATACATATTAATGATTTCCCTGCATAATGATAACATGCAGCTAAAGGTTGCTTTGCATGTTACATTTAAGCAAGGATTTAATAAAAGCCAGGTTCCTGGTTAAGGAGCCTTGTTGTTAGAGCACGTGAACATCGAAGTAGAGGGCATCAGAGTTCCTGTAAACTCCAGTCTCAGCCAGGTGAAGCTGGTCCCTAATGACTGCAGGAAGCTTTAGTTTATAAAGTAGAGAATAAGTTACCTCATGCATTCATTTACTGTTAGGGCTCTTACAGCTATTTCAGTTGTAACACTCGGTAATGTGCTCTCTTAATAAACAAAAATGGTTTACGGCAATCCTGATAAATGACAGGACAGAGATTTGAAACCTGGGGAGTTTTTGGTGGTTAATTGTTAATCTCCTGTTAGAAAGCAGAACAACCGGAGGCTGAAATACCAAGTGTGAATTGAGGCTCAATACTAAGAAATATCGACAAGCAAGTTAAAAATTCTGAAGCGTTAGGATTTTGCTCTCAATGGAAGGGAGGGCAGTTGCTGCTTTTGTCTTGTAAATGTTGGCATTGACACTGAAGTCCTGTTGTTAAAATATTGTTACCAGGGCGTGGGCTTTCCACATCACTGCATCTCCTGCCTAAATTGCTAATGCATACTTTGCCCTTCAGCTATAGCTTAAAATGCAGCAGTCCTGAAGGGTCTGGTAACAAGTTGATCATGTTATACAGATGTTAACTGTTAAAAATAATTCAGACCTGGTCAGGGCAGAAGTTTGCTGGGATAGCCTAAAAATATGGTCAAGTCACTTTATTAGAAGGTCAGTTTAACCATGTTGTGACAGATATATTGTATTTGGAACTCTAAGAGTGCTGTGGTGTGACTGGGTGCAAGGAGTGCTTTAGAATGCATTTAAAACTAGAACGTTTTGCTTCTGTGCCTTTCCCAGGCTAGGCTAGGAATCAAGTTAGTAAATTCCTGTTTTCCCCTGTCTTTAAGATAACAGTGTTATTAAAGGCCAGTATACATAAATAATTTCAAAATCTGTTTGTGTTTACTCTGCCAGTTTTTTGGTGTAATGACGTCATGAATCAAACCTTGCTGATTCATTTAGCGAACATAGCTTTCAAAAACAGCAAACATGTAGTAACCAAGTTTGAGACTTTGACCCAAACATCAAAACCAGCAGGACTATATTGAATGTGAAGGGAATTTCCAGTATTTCTGGAGACTGGGCAGGATATGTCAAGTTATGCATCCAGACAGAATTGATTTTTTTTTTTTTTTACAGCCTTACCCCATTGCTGTTATTGTTGCAACTTAAAACCCAAATGACTATGGAGTACATTTTGTACTAACTGATAAATTGCTGTGCTCTGTAGTGGGGAGGGGAAAGACAAACCAGCCAACCAAACAACCCCCCCAAAAACCCCCAAACCAAACCTGTTGTGTCTTAGTGAGTACTTCAGTCACTTGCTGCGTCTGCCTTGGTCACACCAAAATTTTCTCACTTTCCTGTCAGTGCCATTCTATTTAGGTTGAAAGAAAAGAAAAATAATTAGTGCACCTCTCATAATGGAATGAGCCCTGTGTTCCTGTCATACTGATCTAAAATGTTTACATCAGTGCAGCTCATGTTGTCTTCCAGATCAGGAAAGGGTATAACAATGTAAGCACAGCTATGCTTAGGCTATACTGTGTACGTATAATTGTGAGCAGAAGGGAGAATGGCTGGCAAGAGCAGTGAGTATTTGCAATGTACTGGTGAAGTCACATCTGGTTTACAGGCCCCTGTCAAAGTCTAAATTTATGACTTAAAATAGGGGAGCTGCTTGGTTGAAACTAAAATAATCTGAAATTCGGCATTTGTAATAGTATATGAAGTTGTTGCATAAACAAAAAAAAGTGTTAGAATATGCAGATCACCTGTGGTATATTTGGAGGAGTATCAGAATCTGGAATGGGATAGTGTGAAAAAATCATGCCAACTCAAATGATTCAGCATCAAAATAATTATTAAAAAAACCCCAAAAAAACCCAAACAAAAAACCCCACAAAACATTTTGAAGTTATATTTTCCTTTAAAGACAATTCAGAAGCTTTCCTTTCCTTAATCTGCAAGCTAGTCAGTATCATTACAGTAAGGTTTCTAGCACAAGCATGTTGGCATCTGAAAAATGCTGTTAACATGATAAATTAATGCTGCTAGCCTGTAATGTAATGCAGGTTTGGCATTGTCTTTTGCTTTGTGCCATTAGTCATAGAGAAAACATGATTTAAAGAGCTACATTTTAAAAACCACCCAAGTGTTGCTGCAGAAATAGAGCTCAATGGATGTTTTACTGTCAATTCTTTTTTAATTTTAAGCAATTATTTCTCCTCTGACTTCAACTTTATGCAGATTTCTTGTGTTCTTGCTTTACTTAGCCGTGAAGACTTCCAGCGGATTCCAGAGCTTGCCATCAATCCACTGGGAGACAGAATCATCAACGCCTTCTTTCCAGAAGGGTGAGTTCCAACAGACTGAATTTGCAAGCAGGCACAAAATTTGTAGTTTGTCAGAAATTTTGATAGGAGTGAATTGCTGATAATTAAAGCACAGAATTTGAATTTATGAATAATTGAACACCTCAGACTTATCATGTGTGTGGGTACATTGTTTCCTCAGCATGTTTTCGTTCTGTCACGAGAAATACTTCACAAATTTACAATTTTGTGTGCTTTATTCACTGAAACTCAGGCTTCATGTCACAGTTTTACTCTTCTATGGACTTTGGTTATTAAAGCAAACTTGTAGCAATATTATTTTATGTTAAGTAGTGTTGCAGTTAACTAATTCAGTCTTATTTTCCACCTTTTAGCCTCTAAGTGTACTTTTGTTTTTAGATCAGCTTTGTTTGTGGTTTTTGATCACATTTAAGGCATAGCTTATAGCACTTTGAACATAAATCCAAAGAGATGATAAAATTTGTAGTACTGTCTGACTTCATTACACCCCTCTAGATGGTTCTATGGAATCTTTTGCTGTTTTTGAACACATTTGTCATTACTGATTAATCAAGATTGGATTGTCTAATGAAGTCATAATATTGGCTAATACCAAGCAGGGTTTCCTGAATAGAAAGCAGGAGTCCTGGAAGGTACTTACATAGCTGGTTGCCACAGAAACTCTAGAGAATAGAGACCTATTTGTCAGGGAGCAGTGAGGGATGGGTGCCCCACAGGCAGGAGCCAAGGGTGACAGCAAAGCTGGCACGTGTAGTGTACTCAATAACAAAGGGCACAGCACCTGAACAAGAAAAGCAGAGCAGGTCCAGTGACTGTTGTCACATTGGTCAACAGTCCAGTGGTTACCAGACAAGCTGACAGTGCTGAAGAAAGTCTCGGGTTAATCCAGGGAATCAGGGTCCAGATCAGCAAGGTACATGGCCAGACTGGGGCATAGCTGCAGGGTAGCTCAGGCAAGAGCCAGAGGTGAGGGCTTGAGCTTAAATAGAGGTTGCAGGCAAGGGGAGGGGAGCCCTCGACAAGACTTCTCACAGCTTCTTTTTTCACACATCATACTTCACAACAGCATGATCCCAGGTTGCAACTGCACTGTCTCAGAGCTGGGTTTGAGTGTAGGCAGCCAAACCCTGGGGAGGTGGGAGTGTAAGGGTCTGCACGGTGTTGATGCTTTAGATATTCATACTTGCCTTTACTGAAATAAAGAACTTGTGTAAGCTACACTAAAACTGACCTGCTGAAATGCTTCCACAGAGAGGACCAGGTGAATTTCCGTGGATTCATGAGGACACTAGCCCATTTCCGACCCATAGAAGACAATGAAAAGAGCAAAGACCAGAATGGACCAGAACCACTAAACAGCCGAAGTAACAAGCTCCACTGTAAGAAATGTGAACCTTCCTGTAGAAGCAATTATTTGTCTTTTTTTATTATTTTCTAGGGAGGGAGTGAAGGGACTTGAGGTCTTCAGTATGGTCACTCTCTGTGGAATAATATCCTCTAGTACCTGATTATTTTTTTTTAATTGACTTGCAAGCTTACCTGTTCAGAATGTCAACAATTGACCCACTCTTGTATTGGAATTTGGTGGAATTGGTTGAATCTTGAGTAACGGATATGCTTTTCCAAACATCTCATAACAGGAGTGTTTCAAAATGGTTTGCATCCACAGTTATTCCAGATTTAGAAGCTGCATCCACAGTTATTCCAGATTTAGAAGCTGCATCCCATATGTGAATGGGCTTTTCTGCTTCTTTATCCAGTCTTCCATATAAAAGTGCTTTTTTTTTTCCTCACATTCAGCTGAGTACTTTCTTGAGTATTTGGATGTCTGCCTACAGTATGAGCAGAATGCTCTTGCTTGCTAATCAAAGTTGGCAACAGTCCTCAGAGCACTTAAAATTTCTGTCATATCTCATCCAGAGTATAGTCAAAGAGAATGAATGGTAATGTAAAAAATGGTTGGCTTTGAAGTTAAAGGATTGAATATATCTCAGTGGTAATTACACTTCCATGACTCAGGGCTCTGAAGAAATATCTCTGCAAGCAGAGTGCTTCTGAAAGTGCTCATACTGTGTACTACTCAAGTAAGATTTTTCACTTCTTGGCAATAACGTTATTCCTGTGTGCAGTAATAACCCTTTATGGAGCTGAACATTAATTTTATGGTGAATTAAAATTCTAAGCTAATTCTCTTAAAATGATTTATGAATACATAGTATCATTTCATATATTTTTAGATAAATGTGTTACTATAAAAAAAAATAATGGCACTTGCATTAAACTCCTCATTCTCTTCTTCCCTGTAGTTGCCTTTCGGTTATATGATCTAGATAAAGATGACAAGATTTCCAGGGATGAGCTTCTTCAGGTAAATGGCACAGGGCTGCTTTGAATGACTCTTTTGTGACTTTCTCTGTGACTTCACACCCATTTAGAATAAAGAGGGGAATTACAACAGTCTTCTCAAAATAACTCCTGAAGGAGTTTGGTGGCTAATTGTTTATCTCTGGTTTAAAGCTTTAGGTGTGGTATGAGACTTAATTCTCATTTGGTAGCCCAGGCTGTTTTGTCAGACATGGAATGGTTGGACTCCGTGATCTCAAAGGTCTTTTCCAACCAAACATTTCTATGATTCTATGCTAGATTCGAGTTAAAACCAATGTTAGGCCAAGCAGATCCTATTGGAAACATGGAGACTACACTAAGCACCTTAAGAACTACCTTCTGTAACTTCAAAGGTGCTTCTAACAGGACTTCTCAGGAACAGTCCTTGAGGTGGATTAGGTTGTTTGCCTGATCCTCTGTGTATCCTCTCAGTAAAATAAAACTTCTTGAAACTGTGGCAGAGGTAATCAAAGTTCATCAGTGCTGCATATATATGAAACTAGGCTTGAGCTAGGAGTAATTACATACTACTAATCCTAGGAAGTAGACATGGCAATTTGTGGTTCCTGATGTACCAGGATTTGCTTTTGACTGAAACTGCCCTCTTCTCTCTGCACAGAAAATGCTTTACTAACTGTAGAGAGTAATGGCAGTTATCATATGACAATATACTTACAAGATTCCTGTAGGCAGCTATCTCAAAGAGCAGATATTCCATCAAATGTTGGTATTTTTGTGGGGAAAAAAAATAGACAAAAGCATGGGAACAAAACATACTTATTCCTGGTTCCAAAAGCTTTCTGGTACTTCTGCCTCTTCCTGCTGCCTAGTGAAAAAGCAGGTTTCTTTGTCAAAGGTGGCTACAAAAGGAAGCTGTCTTCTGAAAGCCTTGGTGTACAAAGGCCAAATAGAAGTCTGTCTTGAAATTACTTCCATGGAAATCCTCCAGGGTTGTTCTTGTATGGTGATATTTTGTATTTTGACAGTATGCATGAGAAAAACAGCACTAAGAATACTTCTGTTCTATGTCAACTGATTATTTTTTAGGGGTTTTTTTATTAAAAATATAATAATCTGGGGACTTCTGTATGTTACAGGTATTACGGATGATGGTTGGTGTAAACATTTCAGATGAGCAGCTGGGCAGCATTGCTGACAGGACAATCCAGGAAGCTGATCAGGATGGAGATAGTGCCATCTCTTTTGCCGAGTTTGTAAAGGTTGGTGAACTACCTTTTTAACAACTAAATGAAACTGCTTGGCAATGGGCAAGTAATTTAGACTTAAATGCAAATAGAAACACAGAAGAAGTCAGTGTTAAATAGTCCTGTCTGCCTGCATTTGGCAAAGCCAGCCTTCTGCTAGGTCTCTTTCTTTCCTTCTTTACCAGGATATTATATATATATTTTTTTTTATACTGTCAGGGTACTAATAATTAGTCTGTGTGTTTCTTCATACTCTTACATAAGCTACAGCACTGAATATACTGCAGAATTTTAACTTTTTTCTTTTGCAGCCACTTCTTTCCATACAAGTAGCCTGACTAGCACAGTTACAATAGAGTAATTCTGCTGTAATTGTGCTGATCAGTTTTCACTGGAAATTTCATCCATCAGCAACACAACTAAGTCAGTATTCAAGTTCCTAGCTCTATTCCTTTGAATTGCATCTTTTGTTAGTCTGAAATAGCTAATAGTAAGGAGCCATTATATAGAGAGTGGAGAAAGCTGTCCTATAGCAGAACAATTTCAACTAGCTGATGGGATGGTATTGACACAAGGAACCAGACTGGTCTTGGAGGTGGACAGAAACAGGACAAGAGGCAACAGAAACAAGCTGCAACATGGGGTAATTCTGGCTAGCTATAAGGAAAACTTTTTACTGAGAGGTTGATCATAGGTGCTGAAGATGTAGAACCTCCTTCCTTGGACATATTTAAAACTTAACTAGACAAAGCCCTGAGTAACCTGATTTAGCTGGCCCTGCTTTAAGCAGGAGTTGAGGGAGTTGGACTAAAAGACCTCCAGGGGTCTCTTTAACTTTTCATTACTCTGATCTTGGAACACTGAAGTCTACTGCCTGAAGCAGACTAAAGTCTTTGTACCTCAGTGTTAATAGCAATTAAGCAAATGAAGTTGCCCCCCCAGTTCTACAATGATCTTCATTAGTGATGCTGTGGTCTTGATTTTTAGCTCTTCAATGACTGCTCCTGCTTCTTCCTCTACTCTGTTTTCCCTTCTGTTTCCTGGCCGTGCATTCCCACACAATCTAATTTAGGGAATCCAGGCCTTTCTGGGCTGTTGGCAGACTGAAACTGCATTAGCTACATTTTATTTTACAGCCTTCTTCCAGCTTTAATGGCTGAAGTTTCTTTTGTTGGAAGGTCCTTAGTACAGAATGAAAAATAGCAGTCTGAAGATGAAAGACTGGCATGCCAAATTGAAGACATCCCATGTTCCTGCCCATTTGCTCTATACTAGAGTAAGAAACATTGTAGGAGGGAAGTATGAACGGTAATTTAAGTAGCTGTTTCTGAATTTCATTGCAGGTTTTGGAGAAGGTGGATGTAGAGCAGAAAATGAGCATTCGATTTCTTCACTGATGGATGGAGAACCTATTCCTTTCTACCCCTTCTACATAATGAATAGAACTTTGTTTTCTCCTTAGCACCTTCCCCCAGAGCATTGCTACTGGTGCATATACAATACATCAACCCCTCCCTGATTTGTTCTACCAATGTGAACATTCCCTGTGCGTCAGGAACAAAGGGAAATGGCTGCCATGCAACTTGGAAAGGAGTTGGGCTTTTTAAAATATTTTCCTTCTTTTTTTTTTTTACCCTTTCTCCATTGTCTCCTTCTGCACTACTGTTTCAGCAAAAATGTCTCTCCTTACGTACTGCTGTTTAATCTACAAACTGATTCTTCTGAGCTCTGAATCTGAGAATGGAAAAATGGGAATGTGCCACAGAAGCGCCCTCTGAAACACTTTGGAGACGAGCATCTACTCAAATGCTAGGTGCAGTGATAATGATTCACTTTTGCTTCCAGTAGCAACACCACACTACAGCTGCCTTTTTTTTTTTCCTTTCCCATTTACCTCTTTACATGCAGATTTGTTTCTTCCCTGCTTCCAAATCTGCCTTTTACTTGAGGACTTCTCAATTTCTATGGCTTTGTTGTACAGCTAGCACTGAATGCGTGATGATAGCCTACAGTACTTTGAAGTACTGTGAATAGTTGTTTGGTGTTTTTTTCTTTGTGGGATGAATTCACAGGGACAATAGGAGAATCTGTGGTGAAGACAAACTGTGGTGTCCTCAAAAGGAATAGGAATTCTGCACTAAAGTCACTTAAATTCTTCCAGTAGAAGATGCAGAAACTTTTCTTTCCTTTGAGTAGCTTGCAGGCTTGACAGCCAGTGGACCATGAAGTGCCCTTTCCAGGTTGCTTTGCTCTAGGATCCCTCCTCTCATCAGGGTGGTTTTGCCTCTGAAAGTGTTTACCAGTGTACGTAATGCAAGAAAACTAGTCATGCCAAAATCTGGATTAGTAGTTCTGTCACTGCCACCCCTGGTAAAAGTGTCATGAAACATAGTACTGATTTCCCCTCCTCCCCAGTCACAGTGACCTGGATAATTGGTAATTACTTCCATTTTCCAGTGTGGAAGTCCTGGTCTATTAGACTCAGGTTGAGGGTGGTAGCTGTATTTATGAAAGCCCTGGTATAAGAATATAATTTGGAGAAGTACATATTATCCCAACTATTTCAGAATATATTTCTACACAAGTCTTTCAGCAAGTATAAGATGATTAATACCATTAATATAATGCTGATAAATTAGATCAAAAGTATTGAAGGTTTGATAGTAACAGAATTGTCTGTGGCTAGATTGGCAAAAGATCTCGTCCAGTTCGGCTGGAGCATCCTAGTCTGGGAGGTCCTTCTGATAAAAACAAACAACCCTGTGAGCTTCTTTATTGAAGAATCAGTGTTATAACTGCTTCTCTATGTCATCTGTTAACATTTCTATTACTACTTACCAGTCTCAAACTACCCTCAGATGTGCATTTTCTTTTTTCCTCTGTTTCTTTAATCATCACTTGTCTTAAAGAATAACATGCAAGTCTCTGAAGGATTTTTGATTTCTTTTAAATTAAGGAATTGCAAAGTGAAATGTTGCACTTTATTGTTATGCGGAGTGCAGCACAATTCCAGAAAGAAATGTAAATTAAAAACCTCTACTCTGTATGAGAAAGAAATATTATAGTTTTATGACCATGTCATGTAAAATAGGAATGCGATTATGTTAACAGATTGAAAAGTAAAAAAGTGTTTGTAGGCTTTGTGATCTGCTAAAAAGTAGGTGTTGCTCTCTTCTGGCTATATAGTTGTAACCTACAGTTGTGCCTTATTGTCCCAGTGAGACTGGATATTGTATTTATCAATCCATAAATAAACCTTCCACTGTATAAAAAAAACAAACCCAAAACCTGAAACTATTCCCGTGTGGTAATTGACTGTCCTTTAATGACTGGAAAAGTTAAAGACCAGTAGAATAGTGCTAGCAGACCTTAAGATTTCTTTTTAATAACTGAGCTTGTTTTCAGAGTATTAATAATCCTTCATTCTGCTAGTAGAGTGGAGGAAAGTAGTGCAAAACTTGAGCTCCACAAGGGGATCTGCACTCCTAATACTGCACTGTGGATCCCCTAACAATGAGCTTCACACCTCCCAAGTTCCAGGCGAGGTACTTCCCCCCACCCTCCCTGTAGCCTTGTTCTAAGTAAAGGGTATATAATACTAATGCTAGTTTGATGTCTGTCCTTATAAGCTCCCACCTTAGAAATCGGGTACTTTTGTTAATGTGCTCTAAGGTGAACACCAATACTCTAATAAGTGCACAGGTTAAAAAACAAAACAAAACACCAACAAAAAACCCAACTAACCTTCCCCCAATAGCAAAAAAAAATATACCCCAAACCCCAGCTATCAGAATTTAACTTTGCTGTTAGCTGTATAAACCACATGGAAGCCACTGGGCATCTTATTCAGTATTCTGAAATCTATAATCTATATCTTTAACAGGTGATTTAAAAGATGGTAGACAGTCAGAGAATGAGTTTTACAGGGCTGAGGTCTTAAATTTATAGTAAATTTAAAATCATTCAGAGCTGAGCTGTACAGATATAAGCAGATTTTCCACAAGAGTAATATTTTTAGCATACCTAATTGCTTGTAGAAATTAAAGTCTTCTAGAGAAGAAAGGTCACTTGTGAAAGTTAAAGTCTGGAAGAGGGATGAGATTTTCAGCTCAAAGGCAGAACTACATAATATTTAATCATTTGAAAAAGCTGTATATGGAACAGGTATTTAAATGCAGGTTAAACATTTTCTTGTCTGCTGTCACATAAGCAGTAAAGTCTATTTTCAGGTTTGTTGTATTGAATTGCTGGATGGTTGGCTGCAGAAATCTATGGTTACAATTAATTTCATTAACAGTTAAGAGTATTATGAAGACTACAGAAATTGGAAATAGGTTTGATAGCCAATCCATACTGAAAGGTGGCAAATGAGTTGACTTAAATAGCTGTAGGCCCGTTAGTTCGGCATCGTCTGGGTGAAACAAAGGAATCTGAACACAGGAATTGACTCGAGGAACAGAATTAAAAATAATGTTAGTTTCCCTAATTTCACAATGGAAAATGGCTTGGAAGTTCTGCTTTCAGTTCTTTGAAACTACACCTTTGGTTGTGTGGTGTGTGGATATAATATTTAAGCTGGCAGAAGTGTGTCATTTAAGCTGTCAGTCTGCATTAAAACACTGCATGAGAGGAAGTTCTGTATTAAAGGGAGGGAGATGTCGGCTGCAGCGGTTTGTAGTAGTGGTGGGTGATGAATCACGGTTCCGTGGGGGTGTTTCTCCCGAGTTCTGAATGGGGAAATACTCCTCCTCGCAGCGCTCCCTGCATTCACCCGTCAGACT